CTCCGATCCCGTCTGCCATCTGAGGCTTCCACACCTCGGAGTCGGCTAATTAGTGCCCGAGTTGTCCAGGAAGATAAGCATGCCGACATGCACATTGGTTGTCCTCCCATGTATAAGGTCGCATTCAAAAAGATTCCACGATAACAAATGAAAGTAGAACACATGGCGAATCCTGGGAAGGGTTAGTCTGCGTTGCGTCGGAGGTTAACCCCTCTACCTTTGGAGACGTATGATTTTCAGGCACCTTTCTTTACTCGGAACTCAAGTGCTCAAAAGTGCAAGTTCCCGAAATACCTCGAGTTCTGGCCTTCATCCAATTATTCTTATGAATGGCTCCACATCCTGCAAAAAAAATGCTGCACTTGGTCAGCCTTTAACGGCCTTGATGGCCATGTCAATTAGACCTTTTCTGGCGCCGATGCAGCAGACAAACGCGGTCCTTGACGCCATATGGCAAGAGGTTGGTGACGCCATCTGCCAAGAGGTTGATGACGTAACATTGACGTCACATAGCTAGCAAGTTAACGACGGCTCCCAAAACGCCAGGGCGCTGTAAGGCTCACGGAGGGGGGGGGGGCTTCTGAACTTTCGCTATTTCCTTTCGCGACTTCCTGTTAACGAACATGTTTACTCTTGCAAAGCTGTAAAAAGGTTGATTGAGTCATACCAGTTACACGATTTTGCAGGTTTTTGCAAGATGGCCTGTGCAAGCTTCGCTGAGTACCATTTCGTGCCTCCCTCAAACCGAATTACGCACAACGCGCATACGCCATACCCAACACCTTTCTTCGCCATGATGGTTTTATTTGACAACTCTTGAAATGGCTACGGGCCTGTCACATACTATCCCTTAACAAGTAACAGACCTATGCTGCGCTCAGGGCACGTCATACCTTGGGAATTCCCAATGAGGAGGGGTCCTACTTAGTCGCTGAAGAGGTCGCTCTACTTCTCTTCTTTATTTTCAATTTTCCAGAAAAAAAAGCGGAGAAAGTCTCCTGAAACGCGGTGGGAAGTTGGAAAATTCCAGAAAGTTGGTAGGCAGGATGCTACCAGAGAGAAGGGGGGAGTGGTCATACTAGAGGCGAATCAACGGGGGAGTTGCAAAAATTTTCCCCAACGGCAGGACTTCCCATGGCTACACTTCAGCTTTTCTTCCTGAATGGGAAAGAACTTAAAGGTTCATGGTACTATTTCGGCTGCTTTTACCAGTCTCATTTGGTTTCTTCCTAGCTATCTTTTTTAGCAAGCCTACATTCATTTTAGAGAGTGACCCTTTACTATTAATTACACTCATTTATTACTCAAATTTATTTTACACACTCTATACAGAAAATACAATTTCAAAATACAAGGGAAAAATAAATATTCAGATAAATAACGATGATCAGAATCACAAAATAAACAGCCGTCACAGGGAAGGGATAACAGTCTGGCCCCGCAGCCCCGGCGATCCAGGGGGCGGGGAGCGAGCGGAGGCGTCGATGGCACTTTCGCTCTTCACAAGTCTCCGGTTTACAAGTCTCACGCCTGGTGAAACCTTAAGCTAGGAGCAGGCCTCCAGCGAGCACTCATGAAAACCGTCGAGACCCGTGAGATCTACAACTGATCCCTTCCCTCCTCCCCCCCGCCTCCCCCATCGCCGAACTGTCTCCGAGAAGTTCTGCCGGGGATGAGTGCTGACGGCCTCTAGCCACTGCGGGCATCAGTTTGTCGCTGACCAAAAGCCGCGGAATTGACTTCATATAGAGGACTAATGATGCAGCGGCTTAGGTAATCGCTGAGTGAATATTGCACAACGGCCAATAAGTCATCAATTCAGGCTCCTTGAGGAGAGGCAGACTAGAACATGTGAGGAATAGGAAGAATGAGTAAAACCCGTAAGAAAAGGAGGAAGCGTGGGAAAAGGATGACTGGTTACAATCTGGTTGGGAGATCAGTAGCTAGACGTTGATAAGTGTGACTCACTAGAGGGCCATAGCGTTTGTAACCGATCACTCCCAGGAGGAGCAGACAAATGATAATGATCGAGAAGGCGAATGGTGCTGACGAGAACAGGAATGAACTGAGTGGTTGGGCTCCTACAGGGAGTGACACCAGTAAGATACGGTAACAGGGGGTATTGCCATGAGCCCGAGAAACAGTAATAGAGCTGTGGGTCAGTGATCTGGGTTTGGTTGAGAAGATGTGGTACAATATCGTGCAGACTACAATCACATCGTAAAGGATTTGTGTCGACGCGGAGGTCCCGAAGGGAACGAAGTCTGGAGAAGTTCCGGGTAAAGTGCAGGCGATTCTCACCCAGGTCCAGAGTGGACAAGTTGGGTGGCAGGTCAGCAGCGTTCATGTTGACGATCTGATTCCCACGGAGTAGTAGCGTTCGTAGCGATTGGAGATGTGATAGGTGCAGAGCTCGTGACAAATCGCAGTAGGACATGTCCAGATCAGTGAGGCCGGTCAACTCGTCCAAATGGTCCGACCAGCAGCGCTCATTACATCGAGTGAATATCTGTGGATTATTGGCCAGCTTCAGATGTTGCAACAGTGGAAGACCAGCGAATAGAGCCGAATCCATCGTGACGAGGTTGTTGCTAGATACATCCAAATAAATCAGCGACGGTAGCACCGGATGTGGCAGAATCGATAATTGATTGAAGGACAGATCAATAGAGACGAGTTGCATTCCAAGTGTAGGGAATGCCAGATGATCGATGTCACTTATCTGATTTCGGGAGACATCCAAATGCTGCAGATTTGGGAACTGTGACAGGGCATTTGGTGGCAAAGAGGTGAGCAGGTTGGACGAGAGGGTCAGGGAGCGGAGTTGGTCGAGAGCCACTCCAGGTGGTAAGGTAGGCCAGTCAGTGAATAGATTTCTGTCCAAATGAAGCGCCTCGAGTGAGACTGCTTCCAGCCAACTGGTCTCGAGCAGATTATCTCTAGCGAATACGGTAGTCAATACGCAGTTCTTCTGCAAGTGAAGTCGTTTTAGGCGTAAACCGGTGATGTCGAGCGTTTTCAGTTCGCGCCCACATGCAGACCAGGTTTCGTCGGTCAGATGCAGCTGAGCATAGGACAGATTCAGTGAAATAGCACGGCTCTCATCCTCGAGCCAGTTGACGAATCCTGGTGGCAAGTGGGTGTGGGAAAAGTCCAGGTGGGAGGCGTTCGTGAGGGCAACAAGGGCTGAGATGTCAATCGCAAGCCGATTATTCGAGACGTCGAAGGCATTGAGGCGGCTGAATTCAGCCGATGAGTAGGGCAGAATACGACAGCCAACGTCCATTGGGCAGATCGTGGAAGGTTGGAATATGATAGCCGAGGAGTTGATGAAGGCTAGATTGGCAGCGGATAGCAGGAGCTGCTCAGATGGGGGCAGGGTCGCGGACGAAGTCGAGAGGGCAAGCGGGTTTCCGCTCAGATCGAGCTGTTCGAGCACCACATTCTCGGCGAGTACTGGCGAGAATTGTGAGAGGTTTGCTAGGCGATTCCTGGCCAAATTCACGACGCGAAGATGCTTTAGACTTCGCAGAATAGTTGTGGGAATAGTGTCCAGATGATTATCAGCCAGGTCCAGTACCTCCAGATTAGGTAGGGGCAGTAAGGAATGTGCCGAAATGGACTGTAGGCCGCATCGGTTGATGCGTAGAACCCGAAGAGGAGGATGGAATAGAAAGTGTGGTGGATGTGGGAGATTAAGGTCGATCAGATGGACCTGCTCAATCCATGGGAGCAGTGAAACAGTGCGAATGAGCAGCGTAGGAGAGTTACAGGTCACTGATTTAGTATGGCGATCACAAGCACAGTATGCGCAGATATCTGCCCGGGAGGTGTAGAACAGGAGCGGAATCAATGTGAGCAGACGAATCATGACTGCCGGATGGATGGCCTGCCGAAGGAAAGTGAAGAATTCGACTCGAGGGGCGGGACCGGGGCTGGGCGGAGGGCGTCGCGACCCCCACAACGATAATCAGCCACCATGGCCACGCCTTCGGGGGGTTGTTGCCTTCAGACTGCTACTGCTACTGCTCTAACAAAAGAGCAATGATTGCGCGGCACCCGCGTGATTAGCGGGCCTGGCTGGCTGCAAAATATGGCCATGGATCAAGCGTAAAGCCTGGCATGATCCCAAGGCCATCTATCATAGCTGCTGCAAGCCGTAGATTATGAATGAAATGACAACAGGCGCTGTACGAAATCCCGAATTGGATTAGACGGCGCCACGGAACGGATGATAGCCGTGCAGAGAACGATGCCAGTAGGGAGATGGCGACGGGGGCGGCCAGAGAAGCAAAGACAAGAGAATTCGTTTAGGAGCTGACGTGGCCGCACGTCTGCCCCATTCCTTCCCCAAAGACTCCTATCATAGTACTTGTTCAAAAAAAGGGGAAAAAAGAAAAAAGCTCAGTGGAAAAACATTATAGAAAATGTAAATATCCCAAATGAGAAACTTTTGAGAACCTATTCAGATTGTGGGCGGTGGCATGCTGGGGTTTACGAGGGCGATGCAACAAGCAGTAAGCAAAAGCATAATGATGGTGTGGCGTTGATAATTCTCCCGTCTCATGGCACTTGTCAACCGGGAAGCCTCTCTTTTCTTTCCCTTTTTTCGTTCCTCCTTCCTTCTTTTCCTTCCTCCCTTCTCTGATCCCTCCTCCTTTACCTTTCCCTTCAGCTACTGGACTGGTAGATGCCTCGAGAAAACACCCCTGGACCATCGCAGCGAGAACACGTCTGGTTGATAAGTTCCTCGTGGCCGATAAATCCGCACTAGGCCCATGCGTCTTGACTTCTTCTATTTTCTGTGACACTGTTCTTGATCTTATGTGTGAGAGCTGTCGGTTCACGTTCGCCGCAATTTCTATGGGCGCAATGTGCTTTGGAGGAATTCTCACAGAGTTTTGGGCCGCTCTTACTCAGTCATTCTAGATGAGTGAGGGGGAGGCGGCAGCGTTGTATCAGCTAGCGTTACAAAAACTGAACTGAACTACATATATGTTTCGTCCTACACTACAATAAAAGTTTCCTACCTGGGTAAGCGAAAATGCTGGTAGTAAGTGGGTGGTGATGGTTTGTTAGCTTCATGTCACTTCAAGGGAGTAACAGCTGGCTGGCGGGCGTATTTGGTAGCTTGGAAACTCGAAATCCTATGGACGGGTTTGATAGGGTGCGAGGGAATCGAAATGCTTGGCTATTTGGTCATGTTTTGTCAAGAAATAAGCTATTCCGATTTCGCTGACCTTTCTCGTTTCTACTCATTTTGCGGTAGCGGCCCCGGACTGCAGGTCTTTGGGAAAACTGGAATTATCTAAAGAAAAAAAACTCTGGGAAAGGAGGAAAGGAAGAAAAACTTATGGAAATGGTAGGGAAGATGAGGAATGAGGAAAGCTGGGAAAGGGAATTAGTACTGAAAGAGAAAATTATGAGGGAACGGTAAGGGTCATATCTTGCAGAATTTTATCCACGACGGCAGGGCATGCCTTGGCTGAAGAGAGCCGTACTGAACTGTCTAGATATTGATGCTTTTGGACAGGTTTATCGCCAGAGAACCTATGAAAGACCCAGCCGGCAGCGGACACTCGAAGCGCAGTGAGTCTTCTCAGTTCGCGGAGATTTGATAAAAGAATTCCTTGGGCATAGCGGGATACGCCATGCACTAGAATCTCGTCCACATTCAGCACTAGCAGTTCTCAACAACACTGTGGAGCTCCATAATTCAGACGTTAGAGCCATGCCGAAGGCCAAGGGTATTCTTCCCTATGTTAATGATGCAACCTCAGATTCCACATCAGGGCACCTGATGAAAGAAAATGACGAGGAGCTGAGTGGAGTTGCGCGAAAATGTTATGGTACCCATGGGAGAACAAATAGGGTAGGTTAACCTCAATGTTGGACAGACTCTCTGGTGTATCGCAATGACGTGTGGGATCAAGCCTCCCTCTTAATACGTGGATTTCCCTGCGCGTTTGGTAGCCAAGTCCGAAATCGCAGAGAGTGTACCACCTTCGTCATTCGAGAGTGTGAGAAAAGCGTGACTTGCAACCATGAAACCATTGCTGCCGACGACAACGACTTACATCGCTCATTACCGCGCGTGTTGCTTGGAGCGTCGTAGGACGATTTCATTTGCTCGACGCGGAGATTTGTGATGTGTTTACGTGCTGTGCGCACGAATCATTCCCGAAAACTCGGAAATTGATAATGGGCGTCTGCATATAGGAGGGGTCCTTATTTAGAACACCTTCGAGATTTTTCTCATTTACTAGTGAGTCATTTAGAGACTAGTTGTCCATAATTGAACATCACCACCAACGAAACAGGACTAGTTTTAAAGTGGCTGTACAACTATGACTCAGGGTCAGGAACGATGAAAATGAAATAATGACAAGTGCCAGGCCAGCCAGCTAATGAAGGAATTGTCTAACATCCTGAGTAAGTGGTCGCACCTCTACGAATCCTGAAGAAGGTTTGGTAGCCAGAGTTCGCGTAGAGAAGACCGGAAAGAAGTTCATCATTTCACTCAAAAATCTTCAGGATCGCCCGGCGACCCGAGTAAGGGTAAAGAAGTTTTTGAGTCAAAAGGTCAGTTCCTTCGTTGTAACAACGTTCAGAACGAATCTTCTCGTCTTCTCCTCAGTTACGGCTAAAGCAGTACACCTGAGAAGAACCTTTCCCCAGCCTGTTAGCGTTATCCGAGAATCCCATAGCGTTTCTGTTTTTACTGCGTACAGAACTCATAGAGCGAACGAGAAGCTGATTCCGGGCCATTCTCTTGATTGCCTTCTCGAAACACTCAACCTTCTTGCTTGTGCTTTTTCAAACTCTCCGCCGAATAGCTTCGCACGGTTTTTCCTACGTGAGAAGTGGCAGAGCCAGTAGCCACTCGAAAGCTCTAAACTTCATCCTGTTCTGAGATGGCCCTTTTGTGACGTTCTTTTTCAACTGGTCTATCCAGAGTCCGCGTAGCAGAAGCATTAGGGAACTGTCGGTACGAAAACTACTCACGTTGGAGGGAACACTTGAAATCCGGTAGGTTGGCCAATTATAGGAAATTGACCCCAGAAGAACTTGGGCGCAGTTGTGAGGAGGAGGACAATTTCCCCACGAAAAATCGTGGCTTCAACCGAACTCGGACTCGAAATATCGTCATCGTCTTGGAGTAGTCCCAGAAAAGCTTGGAACTAGCGAAGTATGCTCAGTTGTGGGCAAAGTCAGATACCAGGCGGGATGCGAACCCGCTGACCGAGCGAGTGCGCTAACCATTATGCCACCAGGGCCGAGTCCTGCCTGGTGTCTGACTTTTGCTCATAACACACCATTCGTGTGCTAACTTTCGGAGACTGCGGGGTGAAATAGCAGTCATTACTCTAAACTTGAGGAGAAGCGTTCTGGAAGAATGCTGGCGAAGTATTTTGAGCTTATGACCGGTGGGAAAAGAGTTATGTGCGGATTTGGACCCTTCCTAATATTCCAAGGACACTTTCCATGATGATCGGGAAATGGGCGGAGATCGCCCACCATAGTCAACCATGCAATCCTCATTAGCGCATTCCTCCTCTTTATCGCATTACAACTAGGGCCCACTAATGAGGCAGACACAAGAGGTATGTTCCTCCGCCCATCTCTCTGCCCACCCGGTTAGCCCGGAATCTGTCTCGCCTTCATCGTAGACCAACGCTTTCAGGGTTTTGACAAAACTCTGAAGATCTACGAGCTAAAAATGTCAGAATCAGGACACGTCGTATGCTGGAGAACCCCCGCGGAGGTCGTGTTTGGTCGTTGGAGGCAGAGGTCATGTTTAACCTACAAAAAGTTCTGATACTTAATTTTGTCCTGCTTCACGCGATCCACAGAGCTCAGAGAATTCCGCAGGAGTAGAGGTTGTACCAGGAGAGTGAGTCTGCGGGGGATAGGGTCAAATGGTGCAAAAAAACTTCCCCCAGAGACAGAAAGTGCTTCGGTCAGAATAGTTTAAAGCCCATTGCATTGGGTTACCGGATATTAAAAGAGGGTAGGTAACCCGAGCAGTGGCTTACCACAAGCACTCCAGATGGGACATAGTCCTTTCTGGGCGATCTCAGGGAAGCTTATCACGGCAAAAGCGTCACTAACTCGCTAGTTCGTCGGCCATTCATTTCCATTGGCTAAAAGGGCAACGCATATCACAGTGGCCGATCGCCCCTGTTTTTTGCGGGTGAAATATGAAGCTCAACTTGGCTAGGACACTAGCCATTTTGATGAGGAATTACATGGATAAACCTTCAGAGGCTCTAAGAATGATGAGCGCAGCTACTTGTCATCCAAATAAAATGTAACTGAATGATGCGAAGAGTTATAAAGACCATTGCTGAGCGAGAGGTGCAATGGAACATTCCTATAATCCCCTCAAATTCGTGGCTCAAGGATTGTGACAGAGTTGAGACAGATATTGGCCAATGGGATGGAAACGCCTTGTCTCCAAGAAGAGCCTCTCTGCAGAAATTTCCGGAAAACACTCCGAGTAATGCCTTCCTCGTTCCAAGCGAAAGACGAAGACTTGAGTTGGTTTCGCGAAGAGACCAAGACAAAGGACAGAGAGAGAAGCAATGCAAGTCACCGAGACAACATGACAAGTGAGCATCAGGCGAAGTGGTCGAAGTGGGAACGTCCCTACGTACTATTAATGTACGTGGCCGAAGATTACTTGCATCATTATTTTAGAGCGCGCCTAAACTACGCCCCTATTTTACGACTTCTAAAGCGAACTTGTACTAAAGGTGTTCGCTGCGATCCCACAACTTTTCCATCAGTAAAAGCTTCTTCTAAAAGATAAAGATCTGTGTCTCGAATAATAACTACAGCTGATGGATGTCAAATGGTGAAAGTAACCAT